GCCTGACCCACCTCGCAGGGCTGTTGTTGCGAGGATAACACGGGGAGAACCACGCGCGCCCCCGGGAGCTCCTTGGAGGAGAAAGCGGGCGATGAATGCAATGCACAAATATATGAGAGGTGACCAGGTTTTGCACGTGAGGGGCCCCCGCCAGCCTCCGCTTCCAACACCCGGCGCAACGACGCCAAAGTTTCCCCCCGGGCTCGGCTCGGGGAGCAGCGCTGCTCCCCCCCGGCTCCCCTTCGCCCTCCCGGCTCTCTCTGCCACCCACTGGGGACCCCCCTCACCTGCCAAGTCCGGAGCGCCGGTGGAAGTTGCATGCATGCATGCATGCAGGGCGCCGCGTTGCCATTGCATTGCACTGCACTCCATGCAACGCCTGCACGCATGCATTGCCTTGCACACCCGCCAAGGGGTCTCCCCGCGGTCCGATGCGTCCCCTCCAGTGCGGATGCAGCATTGCAAAAATAAACCCCCCCGACGCAGCCCTACCTGGGGGGCAGCCTCCGCCTCCGCGGGGATCCCCGGGCTCCATCCTGCCACCCGATCTCCACGGGGGCGCAGGCAGGCTGTGCGGGGTCTGCGCGGAAGAGCCCCTGCCCGCCCGGCCGCCGTCGCCGCGCTCATTCCATGGCCGGGAGAAGAGCGCTTCAAACAAAACGCCCGGCCCGCCAGGCCACGCTGGGAAACGTAGTTTGCGCACCCCGCGCGGGCGCGGAGCCCAAGGGCGAGGGGACTACGGATCCCGGCAGCCCCCGCGCCGGGGACGGAGGGGGAGAGGCCGGGTGCAGGGATGGAGGGACGGATGGGCGAGCGAGTGAGTGAGTGGCAGCCACCAAGCCTTGGCCGAGAGCCAGGAAGGGCCTCCCCGGAGGAGGAGGAGGAGGAGGGAGGCGCAGAGCGGGAGGGAGGGAGGGAACCCCAGGGGTCATCTAGTGACGGCGCCCCAATCGAAAATTTGACTTTAAAAAAAATAAATCAATTTTTTAATTTTTCCCACGGCACACCAGGCAACATCTCGCGGCACACTAGTGTGCCGCGGAACAGTGGTTGGGAAACACTGCTGTAGACGGAACTCACGTGACACAGTAACAAAGGAGCCACAGCAAACTGCCGGTTTCAGCACTCTGGACAGCTCTTTCTTCTGTTCTTATGAGTGTTAACCAGGAACTCAAGATTGGAAATGTCAGACATGCATTGAATGGCCTGATGTTTAATTGGTGTATAGTCTGCACACCAGATGTGCAAAAGGAGTCTTTCATTATCGCTGACCTTCCTGCTGCTGCTCTTACCCCTCCGAGGAGTATTATTAGTCTGCCTTGGTTTGACTGCTAGAGGTAGTGGGCCGTCACAACTCTCCACTCTTGGCCTTGTGCTCCTCCTCCTGACTCGGGAACCCTTGTGGCTGTCCTCCTCCCTTCTCTCACTTGTTTCCCCCAGGAGGCATTGTGCCAAGAGCCCTCTTTTGGCACGCTATTGCACTATTGATCAGCACGACAAGCTCCTTCCTGCATCCCAGCTGCAAGGTGACTCTGCCACAGTGCAGTTGGCTGCGAGGAGCCAAAATAATGAGCTACACCAAGGCCAACTGCCAGTGGAGTTGCATCTCAGTGACAGATGGAGGCCTCTCATAAGACGCCTTTTGCAACACTTGTTGCGTCGTCCTGTGGATACGGGGTACAGATCAGCCTTTGCGTTAATGAACCAGTGACAGCAGAAGATCAACCCTTGGTTGGAGGAGGGAGCAGGGAAGATACCGGCAGTTTATGAAATAACGGAATCCTCATTACCATTCTGATTTTGACCTCTGAGTTTCCCTTTCCTCTCCTCCAGGATAGCCTGCCGCTCGACTGGATGTGCTGCTGTCAGATCGCAATGTAATCCCTGCCACTGCCGCCTTTCACAATGCCACAATGTTGGGGAGAAACCAATTAAAACTGAAACGCTACACTTTGCTTAACGTGGTGCAGGGAGATAGATAGGAATTCAGACCAGTGCTGGGTTTTCGCAGGCTGTAGGTAGCTTTTATAATTAGGAATGTGTCAAAGTTTCCTTTTCAGGAAAGCTAATTCTCCTTCCCACCTTCCTTGGCAGGGGCACAAATGCAACCTCTGTCTTTTCTGCTGGGAGCATTGAGATGAATGAAGGGTCCTTGGGTGGCTGCAGAGGTGATGGAGTAGTGGCAGATCCCAGGTTCTTATTTGAAGAGTCTGGATCCCTGGACTTACTAGAAGTGTCAGGGATCAAATTCTGTTTCTCCTGGGCAGCCAGCAGAGTGTTCTGCATCAGATGGAACTTTCATCCTGTTTGCAGAATCCCTAAGCAGGGGTGGGGAGCTGTCTTCAGTCCAGGACATAATTGTTGTTGCTGCTGCTGCAATTGATTACCTGCCCCTCACCTCAAGGTCCCAAGGCTGGTTACAGCAATGAAAACACAATATCAAAACAGTTTAAAACAACTTAGAATTACAGTAGTACCTTGGTAGTCAAATGGCTTGGCTCCCGAACAAATCGGCTCCCAAACGCTGCAAACCCAAAAGTGAGTGTTCCGGTTTATGAACGTTTTTCAGAAGCTGAACATCTGACATGGCTTCTGTGGCTTCTGATGAGGTGCAGGAAGCTCCTGCAGCCAATCGGAAGCTGCACCTTGGTTTTAGAACCATTTTGGGAGTCGAATGACTCCCAGAATGGATTAAGTTTGAGAACCAAGGTACCACTGTACAGAAATACAGTGGAGTCTAAAAATATACATCTCAAGTGTCAAAAGCCAGAGTAAAGAGGAACATCTTTAGCACCTCTGTAATGAAGGTGCCAGACGCACCTCTGGAGAGGGAGGAATCCCACAACAATACTTTGGCAGAATGCCAGCAACCCACATCTGCAGAGGTCTTGTGTAACTGAGAATCACTATTGAAATCAGGTGGAGTTTGGAAGAAATCAAAGTTTAAGGGGGAGGGGGAGCTTCCCAGAACACCCAGATTCTGATATTCTGCAGGAATTTCAGGAAGGGATGCTGTGCTGCAAATGGTTTCTTCTCCTCCCCTCCTCCTCTCTCTGGGGGCATTTGAAACAATCGTGCCAAGCACGGGGCAAACCACTAGAGTGATTAATGGCTCCTGTATTGTTATAAAATGATTTTTTTTAAACCATTGTCGATCTTCCCGAATGCTTCCTGAATTTATGATTGCTTTGTCGCCGTTGCTATGGACAACAGCTTGTTAAAACCCCTAGCAACATATAGATTGCAACATACATGGAAATTAGGTGCATGCTTATCAACCTCGGAGCTGTAAAAAGGCCCAATTTATTAACTATATGGCAAAAGTGACACCTTAACAGCCAAAGGATATGAAATGACATGGAGGGGGGGGATTCATCTGCATATTGGGAGGGGGCCCCTTGGCCTGCCGCCACCAATGCTAAAAAGCTGAACTTTTATGACTGACATCAAATTAAGATATATTGTGGGGAGCATCGTTAGGGATATTTGAGATGGACTGAATTTTAAATAACGTCTTGAAGATGCAGGCTTCCCGTGCCTTAGAAAATGCAGCCGATCTGATCTCTGACAGCAACAAAGTAGGACTTTTGAAGCCCAGGAGTTCCATCAATGAGCCATCTGGCTACAAAGGTCCTTCTGCAAGGTCTAGTCTTCCACAATCTCCTGCTCATGCTTAAGAACAAGTCCTACGTTTCAAGGACAGAAGGGTCAACTTTGGTACAATCGCATACCCAAAATTCTCTCTGGATAGTCCCATTAACTAGCTTTTTTATATATATATTAGAGCTGTGTGTGTTTTTGTATTTAATTTTCGAGGGAGCGGTGGTGGGTTGAATGCACTCCAGGCACAGTGCAGTTTCACTGCAGGGAATGAAAACTGCTGCTGTTAGTAAAGCTGTTAAATTGAAGCAGTCTCCTCTGGAACATAGGAAGCTGCTTTATACTGGGTCAGTATATTTGTATATGTAGCTCAGTACTCTCAGTATATAACCAGGAAAGATAAAAGAAATACCAGCAGCGATGGTCCGAAGAGGCAGGCTATGGGTCAGAGGTGGGGGCTGAAGTTGATTCATAAAAAAGGTAAAGGGACCCCTGACCATTAGGTCCAGTCAGGGCCGACTCTGGGGTTGCGGCGCTCATCTCGCATTATTGGCCGAGAGAGCCGGCGTACAGCTTCTGGGTCATGTGGCCAACATGACTAAGCTGCTTCTAGGGAACCAGAGCAGCGCACGGAAATGCCATTTACCTTCCCGCTGGAGCGGTACCTATTTATCTACTTGCACTTTGACGTGCTTTCGAACTGCTAGGTTGGCAGGAGCAGGGACCAAGCAACGGGAGCTCACCCCGTCATGGGGATTTGAACCGCCGACCTTCTGATCGGAAAGTCCTAGGCTCTGTGGTTTAACCCACAGTGCCACCCGCATTGAAGTTGATTCATATTACCAGTCAAAAATTCTCCATACCTCTTAGGAGGTATTTGTGTGTGAAGCATGCAGCTCCCAGCAGGTTGGCCTATGACTAACATTTCCCCACTCTTGTACTAGGTCAATATGGGCTAATGTCCCTAGGTAGCTAATGAGGATAAGCCAAAGGCATTCCTGCCACCGAGAGCAGTTCTCGGGACCCATTATCACTCTCCTTGTCCCATTGTTCCTCGTTCACTACTACCTGTGAGATGGCCCATTGAGGAGCTGCAATGGCACCGCTGGCTACAGAAGCAGTACTGATGCCGTTTCCAGTTCAGTGGTACCTGAACTGCTGCTTCAGACCACCATGCAGAGCAGAAGGTTTGTGTTCTATTAACTTGCATGCAGACCAGCTGCACTTTATATTAAGGTTGGACTCAAGTCAAGGAAAAGACTACTTTTTTTGATGCTAGCATTTGTGTTTTCATCTCCCCTCAGCCACAGGTTCAGACAACAAATGGATACACTGCAACATTTTGTTGGAGGGACCCACTTGCACTTACACAATAGTTATCACTTCTTTGTACCATTGGTGCATTTACGCAAGCCTCCAAACATTCCACTTCAATCAGAGTTCATCAGGCGTTGTTTCTCCAACTTTTATACCTAGGGAAATAAAGCAAAAACAAAGCAGTACAGTAGTACCTCGGGTTAAGTATTTAATTCGTTCTGGAGGTCAGTTCTTAACCTGAAACTGTTCTTAACCTGAAGCTAATGGGGTGTCCTGCTGCCACCACACCGTCAGAGCATGATTTCTATTCTCATCCTGAAGCAAAGTTCTTAAGCTGAAGCACTATTTCTGGGTTAGCAGAGTCTGTAACCTGGAGCGTATGTGACCCGAAGCGTATGTAACCCGAGGTACCACTGTATTAGAACCTGACAGGCCTTTTTCTACTTGTCCTGGGAGAGCAGGGCCCTGACTGACTCCAGCTACAAAAGCTGAGCCTGCTGAACAGACTCTTGGGCTGGGGTATTATTTCGGCTGAGGTTGTTGCTGTTAGTTATATATTTTTTGTATCTTTGTTTTAGATCTTATTATGATTTATGTGGAAATGGTTCAATTTTGTTGTGTGTTTTTAATGTTCTATTTATTGTTTATGACTACTTTTGTTATGTTTGTAGTTATGTATTTTTTTCATGTTGTGAGCCATCTTGAGTATGGTTTGAACTATGGAAAGGTGGCATACAAATAAAATGTATGTATGTATGTATGTATGTATGTATGTTATTCATGCAGCACAACATTAAATTGTGAAACTCACCCCTGCGAGAAGGAAGTGATGGCCACTGACTTGGATGGCTTTGAAAGAGGATTGGACAAGTTCATGGAGGAAAAGGCTCTCAATGGATACTAACCACAATGGCTATGCTCTGTCTCCATGGTCAGAGGCAGTGATGCTTATGAGTACCACTTGCTGGAAACCGCAGGAGGAGAGAATGCTGTTGTACTTTGTCCTGCTTGTGGGTTTTGTGGGATCACCAGCCTCCTATACCCAACATGTTTTAGTCTAATTATTATCATCATTATCATCATTACTTAATTATTTATTAACTTTGTATACTACCCTTCATCTGTAGATCTCAGGGCGGTTCACAGCATAAATGATGGTTCACAGCATAAAGAAATTAATGCATGAAAGGGGTTAATACCATAGAGTAAGCTGTCCTCCCAGGAAGTTTTAAATGTGTGACATTTTAATGTATTTTTAATCTTTGTTGGATTAAACAACCAGATGGGTGGGGTACAAATAATAAATTATTATTATTATTATTATTATTATTATTATTATTATTATTATTATTATTATTCCCTTACATTGGGAGGAAATAAGTGATCAAGACTATTGTGTCCCCCTCCCCACCTCCCTGTCTGCCTGAGAAGCTCAGCATGTGAAGAGGTTTGAGGTGGTTGCTTCAGCTCAAACGCATGATGCTCACTCTTGAGTTCCTAGGAACTTTCACCACTTTGTAACTAAGCAAAGTTTTACTGCCCGTGCAACTTTTCTGATCTTTGGAGGGTTTGTAAGTAAACCAATATTTAACATACCAATTAGCCAACCTATTCTCTCTACCATAGTTCAGTGGTACCTAATCTGTTTTACATGCAAATGGAACCCGAGATCAAATTCTGATGGCGTCTCCAAATAATAATAATAATAATAATAATAATAATAATAATAATAATAATAATTTATTTCTTATACCAGGAAAGTCTCTCTGCCTGAAACCCCGAAGAGCCACTGCTAGTCAGTGTGGACAACATTGAACCAGATGGACCAGTGGCCCAACTCAGCAACTGGCAGCTTTCTATGCTCTGTGTCTTCAATATGGGATCTCCAGGGTCACCTCATGGACAGAGATCAGCTCAGCTCTCTCCTCATACAACCCAGAACAGCCAAATCACTTGACCTGAGTGAGTCTCCAGCACAGTCTAGGGTACGAGAGGATTGGCCAGACCCCAAGAATGGGGCATGGTCCAGGAGGCATGTGAATTACCATTTGCAATGCACGGCAGAGCTATCTGAACTGTGAAACAACATTTCAAAACAAAAAGAGCCTTAAAAGCTCCACTTCCTGCAGTGCAAGGTCTCGGATGATTCATGGGCATGTTTTAATCTTGAGCTGTTTTCTCCCATATCCTGGCCATTTCTCCATGCCGAGCCAGCTTGGATATTCTTTCCTGTATTCAGGAGGATTGCAAGCCCTCCGCCCTCAGCTTAGCTGGAAATGCCAGCGGTCATGCGGCAGAGTCCTCTGCTGTCGCTCCACCATCCTGTCATTTCCCTCTCAGCTAGAAACCCCAGTAGCATGGAGTGCTCATGTTCAAAAGGGTTTTTAATTTGCACAAGTGAAAAAGAGCAATGTGGCAACTATGACCTGGAAACACAGAGAAGGAGGGAGGGAGGCAATGACTCTGTGTTGCTAATGAGCCTGTCTAGAGACCCCATGGGATTCAGGATACTTTTTGCTTCGTCATGATTTTTCTCTCCTTCCTCTCCTCAGCTAGTATGCACAGAAGGTCTGACCCCGAGCCACTCTTCCAGGAGCACCACACAGACTCGCTGATTGAGGTTACAGCTATTTCCCAAGCAGCAGGGAGACCCCCAGAGAAGCAGAAGGGGATGGAAACATCAAGTGAGGCTGCCAATTGCCAGCCCACCTTTCAAGGAGACTCAAGAAACCATAACTGTGGTGGAAAAGGTTATTATTATTTTTTAAACATAAAAACACGGAGGATCTGCAGACAACCAAATAAACATAATTAGCCAGATGCAGTCTAGACAGAGAAATTTATTAAGCTGGGAGGGATCAGCTCCCTCCCCACTGCTGGCCATGAAAATTAAGTAAACCTTAGGGGTGTGAACCTGACAAGCATGCAGTGGCCCTGCTAGGTTGGCATTCACCCCAGTTTGCCTGCCAGTGCTAAAGCGCACCCTAAAGGACCCAAGGCCAAGGCAGCATAGGATGACAAAGAGCGCCTTTCACCCAATAACGCCTTCTTGATATTTACCCCACTAGATCTTAACTTGTCTTTGCTGCTTGGAGTGAAAGCCTATTAAAGCAATCAAAAGCATCACTCCAAGAAGAGGACTATCAGCAGTGAGGTGAAAAGAGGAGTCCCAAGGCCAACTGTGAGCTCCCCCCCTCCAATTCCTACTAAGCCCTCAAACAGGCAACCAGCAAAGGCCATAATGCATAGGGAGAGAGGGCGTTGCAATGTTTGGGGCCAGAGGAAGCCTCTCCATCCTGATTGGCCGGTGGCCCTTTCCTAACTCTTCCCTAGAGCAGAACCATTTTGAGTCTTCTTCCCAGGAGATTTGGGGTGTGGCATATTTGTCCCCACTTGTCAGAGACCAGGCTGATGAGCAATGGTGGGAGCCTCCCCCTCCCCCTGCTCCTGACCAGGATCCTGAAGCTGCCCAGGAGCAGTATAGATTTGAAACAGTGGTTTGCAGAGGGGCATAGTTCTGAAGATAAAAGTAACCTGAAGCATCTGTAACCCGAGGTACCACTGTATTTGTAAGAATGGATTCCAAATATCATGGAATTTGTCCCTGACAAGTCTGTGTTTATATGCAAGTTGTTCATATGTTGCGAGTTAGTATAGGTCTTCAATCCAATCGTAGAAGGGAGTCACATTTATATTTTTCCAATTCACCAGTATCAAGTCTTTTTGCTGTGGTAAGGGCACGGAGAGTCCACTCATATTGTCCTTTTTGTAAGGTTCCATGTGCTGGGTATATAATTCAAGAGGACATTTTGCTCTGTAAATGTAAGGTTGTTCCGTACTGTACAGTTCTGTTGATGTTCTCAGTTACCTTCTGCCAAAAATCTTTCAACACAGGACAATGATAAAAAACATATTTTAGAGAAGCACTATCCCTATTGCGGAATGCGGGTGGTGCTGTGGGTTAAACCACTGAGCCTTGGGCTTGCCAATCAGAAGGTCGGCGGTTTGAATCCCTGCGACAGGGTGAGCTCCCATTGCTCAGTCCCAGCTCCTGCCAACCTAGTAGTTTGAAAGCACGTCAAAGTAGATAAATAGGTACCATTTCGGCGGGAAGGTAAACAGCGTTTCCGTGTGCTGCTCTGGTTCGACCGAAGCAGCTCAGACATGCTGGCCACATGACCCAGAAGCTGTACCCCAGCTCTCTTGGCCAGTAAAACAAGATGAGTGCCGCAACCCCAGAGTCGGCCACGACTGGACCTAATGGTCAGGGGTCCCTTTACCTTTACCTATCCCTATTGCATCTGCCAGGGATTCTTTAGCTTTGATTCCAGCATTGCAGGGGGTTGGACTAGGCAACCCTTGGGGTGCCCTCCAAATTGACTTGTTCTGTGATTCTCCAGAAATTTTGTATAGGGCTATTTTGAAAGTAACTGACTGTCACCTTCCATCTGTGTTCCACCATAAAGTAAGCACCTCGGCTGGGACTCATACGTCCTCCGCTCCCTTCGGGTCTCATTCCACACTGAACTGATTAGACATTCTGTTCCAAGGTGATTATTTGTGTTCTGTATGCCATCCCTCATCACCTGTGCAAGCCGATCTTGCTCTATTTATTAGGCTCTCTATTTGTACATTCAGCTAATATGCATTCGATATGCGGGGAGTGTTCCTGCCCAACTCGCAGGCTTCCCAATGGCTGAAGTCTCAGCAGGGATCCAATAGCCGCAGACCAGCTTTTGCCATCTCTGGATGTTTTCCTAAGGATTGGGAAACATCCAAGTTTTCTCTGTACAGTGGTACCTCAGGTTACATACACTTCAGGTTACATACGCTTCAGGTTACACACTCCGCTAACCCAGAAATAGTGCTTCAGGTTAAGAACTTTGCTTCAGGATGAGAACAGAAATCGTGCTCCGGTGGTGCGGCAGCAGCAGGAGGCCCCATTAGCTAAAGTGGTCTTCAGGTTAAGAACAGCTTCAGGTTAAGTACGGACCTCTGGAACGAATTAAATACTTAACCTGAGGTACCACTGTACAGCTGACTGGCAACAAGAGATTCTTGACCGGCTTTCCCCAATTGGGTACAGTGGTATCTTGGGTTAAGAAATTAATTTGTTCTGGACGTCCGTTCTTTACCTGAAACTGTTCTTAACCTG